TTCCCCTAATCTTACAATGAATTGTTATTTTTATAATTCCAGGTGTCTGCTACTGATCCAGAATGTGGCAAAACTGCTCCTGTAAAATATTTCCCCACCGGTGCTTCCGATCTTCCCTCAGTTTTCACTCTTGATGAATCAACTGGCCAGATTTGTATCCAATCAAATTTAGACTATGAAACAACGTATAGTTATAATTTTCTCGTCAAGGCTGTAGATTTAGGTAAGTTTAAATTAAATTTTGTTTTTGAGGTGGAACGTGCTTGTTTTTATAATTAACGAGGGACAGAATCCAGGGTGGAGTTATAGATACTGTAGAAAATAAAGACAGTGAATTGTGTCAAGACCCAACTCTGCCTCGTGTATCTGCACCAGAAGACTTGACATGTCCTATGTCTTCAATTGTTTCATGGATGATGATTTCAATATTCCAATCATTAAAACTTCTTAGTGATCAAATCTAGTCAAACCATCTTGAAAATTCTGGACTGAAATTGTTTTTTAAATCTTTTTCAAATCTTTTTCAAATCTTTTTCAAATCTTTTTTAAATCTTTTTTAAATCTTTTTCAAATCTTTTTCAAATCTTTTTTAAAATCTTTTTCAAATCTTTTTCAACTTGGAGAAAATACTTGGTAAATCTATTTTCAAAATGCAGAAAATTCAGAATTATTTATTGTTATTATTTTTGGCGTTTAAGATTCCATCTGTTTTTCTTACTCGTGAATATTTTCATACATTAGAATTTATTTTCATAATGTCTAACATTACGAATTATGAAACTCTTGGCAACCCAACACCTGAATTACGCGTTGTTTTAATAATCAGCATGTCAGGTTATAATAATATCAACAGGGTGGTTTCCCCTTGTTTTTATACCTGATAGATAGAAGTAGGTAGATTTTCTGCTCCTTGAATTTAAATACTTGATATTTCATTATCTGATGGATGGATTCAATATAATGATATATTTAAAACTGACTGATGTTTATCAAAATGATGTACTTTGTGGAAATTTAGATACAGAGAATTTAATTCTTGTTGCACTTTTTTAAATTGTAAAGTAAATTTACTCAGAGAAAGAGACTGGTAAGAAATGTCCTAAAACCATCAACTTAAGACATTTTAAAAAGCAACCTTCACATAGCATATTTTTTGAGACGAGCATAATTCACCTATTATTTTTTATTTTCTAAAAACACTAATTTCTGATTGTCCCTGTTTTCCAAATATCAAGAAAAAACATTGATTGCTAAACCCAACTTTTAGAATTTTTTCAAACCCCGTCAAAAACCCTATATTCAAATTTTATATATCTATTTTAAGATGGACTCCAGACGACAACTGCCATCAAAATAACAGTAACAGACGTCAATGACAACAAACCAGTTTTTGATCCGTCCAGTTATAAAGTGAATGTGGAAGAAGATTTTAGCGTTGGGAAGACAATCTTGAACGTCCAGGCCCAGGATCAAGATTCAGGGTTTTTCGGAGATGTTTTATACACGATTGAAACGGGAAATAGTCAGGGTTATTTTGACATCGATAGAACTTCTGGTAAGTTACTTGGTTTATTTTAGATTCCATTTGCTTCCTTCTCCAATGATCCTTCTTTCTAAAACCCTCTTAAACCAGGCCGCATATTCTCGAAACGATCTTAGCACTAGGATATCCTAGGTTCTTATCTTTTAACATTGATTCTAGAATATCCGAGGTAATTATCTTCTAACATTGATTCTAGGATATTCTAGGTTCTTATCTTCTAACATTGATTCTAGGACATCCTAGGTTCTTATCTTCTAACATTGATTCTAGAATATCCGAGGTAATTATCTTCTAACATTGATTCTAGGATATCCTAGGTTCTTATCTTCTAACATTGATTCTAGGATGTCCTAGGTTCTTATCTTCTAACATTGATTCTAGGATGTCCTAGGTTCTTATCTTCTAACATTGATTCTAGGATATCCTAGGTTCTTATCTTCTAACATTGATTCTAGGATGTCCTAGGTTCTTATCTTCTAACATTGATTCTAGGATGTCCTAGGTTCTTATCTTCTAACATTGATTCTAGGATGTCCTAGGTTCTTATCTTCTAACATTGATTCTAGGATGTCCTAGGTTCTTATCTTCTAACATTGATTCTAGGATGTCCTAGGTTCTTATCTTCTAACATTGATTCTAGGATATCCTAGGTTCTTATCTTCTAACATTGATTCTAGGACATCCTAGGTTCTTATCTTCCAATACTGATTCTAGGACATCCTAGTGCTAAGATCATTTTGAGAATACGTGGCCTGGACTTTTGAACATGCTTTTTAGAGGAGAGTTTTGAAAATTGAGGTGTGAAACAATCCGAGGATCATTTGACAAACTATTGTAAAAATAATTGTTTTAAAAGATGCAAGACATTTTTATCAAAAAATTATAATCTATTAATGATAGCTTCTAGAATTCAACTCATAAAGTTTTCAAGTTTTTATTCTTAAATCATTTAAAATTCTTGTAAACTTCTAATCTATAGGAAATAGACAATTATATAAAATATTCCTTTTAAACAAAAACAATTCCACATATCTCTCATATCTCTCGTATCTCTCCTGCCAAAATTACCCAATTATTGCCTCATAAAACTCGGCAGTAAAATTGTTAAATAATTTTTGGCAGACAGTAAAATCATTTTCAAATGTTTAAAGGGTTAGGCCTACTGTATTTTATTTTTGACTTCACCAGCTGATAAAACTCGTAAGGGTCAAAAATGATAACAGATATTGTGCTGAAGTCTAATTACCCTGAAGTTTAAGATTAATATTAACACTTTTTGTATGAAATTTCATTGTCTGGATGAGTTAAAGAATTAAAGTGGTTTCCAAATTTTTTTATAAATTGGAACGGTGCAAATTGCTTGTTGATCTGAATTTATTATCAATTTTGATTAAAGTGTGTTCAGCTTAATTATAAAGACTATATAATTATTTTAACTCTTTTTTTTGAAATTAAAAAACTGAAAAACTATTTAAATCATTACAAGCCTTGAAGTTATTGTAATAAAATTGTGATCTATCAAATGAATATTTAGATGACTACATCACTTTACAATGTTAAAGTGAATTTAGAAAACTGAAATCTGAATATTTGAAATAACTTTAACCCTCTATACTAAGTACAGCAATAAAACTGGTTAAATTGTTAAAAATGTTTTTATAATTACAACCTAGTCTACATATTGAAATAATCATTTTCATAAATATAAAATGGTTCTTATTTAAAAAATTGTAAAATATCTAATTATTTTTAAGGTAAAATTCTGTTTTTTGTAGGTTATCAAATATTTATCAATAAAATGTTAAAGTTGACAAACTTTTTGAAAGAATTTTGAAAATAAACCAGATGATAATTTATATTTCTTGTAAATTCAGAATTCAAAATAAAATATAAATGTGGAATTTGAATTTAGGTATTATCTTTTAAAACTGTCAAAATTCCACTAATTCTAATAAGTTTCTCCTTTTTTTAACCCAGAATTATTACAAAAAAATACTTCATTTTTGCCAGCAAATATTTTTTTTCTCCTAAAACTAATTTGTGTTAATATTTTTTGAGTTGTATTTGAAAAGAGAATCATGAAAAGCTATTAATTTGTTGATAACTGATCAGCCAAAATGAAAGAACACCAAATCTAACATTCAACCACTGGAAAAATAAACTTATATCAAAAGCTTGGTTTTGAAATCCAATATTAAGGCATTTTACTTTATTTTTGTTTTGAGCACACGAAGGCTAATGCTACAATTTTTTGATCTGATTGAATTACATGAGATTGGGCTAATCTGAGACTTGATCAAACGTTGTTTACAGATGGACAGACTGTGTAGTTTTGATGAAACGGAGGCCATGCAGAAGATCAATCGAGTTAAAAAACACCTGGTGAATTCTGGTGAAAACTGCCAAGTTTAAAACATGTTAAATTAGTTAAATAAATAATATTAGTTTATAAAACTGTTTCGTTGAGGTTTAATAAATATTATTCAGAATAAATTGATTTCAAATAATTTCAGCATCTGTTTTAAAGTTATTATAGTGATAATTTATGATCTTTGAAGATTGGGATAGTTTAACCCCTGAGAATGAATCTCGATTTATTTCAATATGAAAAAATAACTCATAGGATCCATAAATTTTGAGTTTTTCTGTTTGAAAAAATATCTTGATAAAACCAGTATAAAATTAAGATTGATTATGAATTCTGTTAATAACTTTTTGTCATTTCAATTTGACCAAATTGGACTAACAATATACAGTGATGTACTAGTATACTGAATTCTCAAATTCTATTATATTATTTCAGGAGTTATCTCCCTTGCCAAAAGTCTACCGAACGTAGAAAGAACGTACCAGTTGTTGATACAAGCGTCTGATGGAGATGGTGTGGAATCAACCAATCCAGCGACAGTTATTATCAGTGTGATTAGACCCAACTCTGAACGCCCGAAGTTTGAGTTTAACCAATATAGTTTTGACGTAGCAGAAGACGTCAACCCCAGCACACTTGTTGGAAGTGTAATAGCTACAACTCAGTCTCCAGGCTCTAGTAAGTTTTTTTTTTTTTTACTTTTTAAGTTTAAAGTGATCAGACCATAGAATATTCACCTACTTTCAGAAAGTTGTCTGAGGTAGCTTACCTTTCAGGAGAGTTTTCAAACTGTAAAATATTCACCTTGTTTGAGTTTTCACGAGTACCTCCAATGATGTTCTTGTTACCCCAGGTTGGAACTAGTACCCTTGGTTCAGAACAAGGGGTCTGCTTCATACATTACTTTTGAATATTTTTAGTATCACCACAGTCTGGTTTACGTCTTCATTAGTCCACATGGTGCAGAAAAGTAGGACGTAAAACTCCATTTCATTTCATTTTTTTACTGTTTATTTATTGCCACATTTCCCAAAATCAAGATTTTGTCTTACGATACATTTTATGGATCGAGGCCTACATAATAGCTAGCTCAATTCTAAAAATCCTAAAATTTTATTTCATTATAGATATACAGTACGAGATCCTATCAACCAATCAGAATTGGTTTCGTATCAATAACCAAGGTAGTATCTATACTGTCGGGAGGATTGATCGTGAAACTAAACCTTCGGTATTACTAAACATCCAGGCTGAATCTGGTCTCAACCCGGTCTGGGCCACGACTCAGGTAAGCCTATAATTTTAATAGGGCATACTTGACCCTGGTTTCATTTTCAACAATGTTGGGAATATTATTGTGGTTTTTCTATGTAAGATTTTACTTGTATTTCAAAATGAATGCCATGAATGATACAGATATAAAAGCTATGTTAATAAAGATAGTATACAGAATAGGGCAGTAATGTTTATATATGTAAGAGTATGATATAGGATATATTATGTTGTATATTTCAGGTCAATATTACCATAGCAGACGTGAACGATAACAAACCAGAATTTACCATATATGGTGATGGAATCAGGTTGCCAGTTAAAGAAGATGTTGTCGTGGGAACGTCTATATATGGTGTCCATGCCAATGATAAGGATGATGGCTTAAATGGAACTGTTCGATATAAACTTCTTACCAACCCGAAAGATTTGTTTGATATTGATGCCTTGAGTGGTGAAATTCGTCTAAAAAATGAACTGGATTACGAAACCAATGATCAATTTCTGCTGAAGATTGTCGCTCATGATCAAGGGACTCCACAACAGGAGAGTTCCACGGCAACAGTAACCATTGATGTCATTGATGTGAATGATAATGTTCCAATTTTTACGAAAAGAATTTATGATTTTAACGTGAAGGAAAATGCAGAATTGAATTCGAAGTTTGGGACAGTGAATGCCACAGATAAAGATTCTTCCCATCATGGTGGACAAATGAGCTTTGGTTTTGCTGAGTCACCCTACACTGACATTTTTGGCATGTATCCAACTGGAGAACTGTACGTTAAAAGAGATCTGGATCGAGAAATCCAGGATTTGTACGTCATTAATGTGGTTGTCACAGATATTGGTCAAATTCGTCTGTCCTCGACTGCTACTGTTCGAATTCATGTGACTGACGCCAATGACAACCGACCCAGTTTCACCCAATCAGAGTATCATTTTGATATTGAGGAAAATCAGCAGGTTGGAAGCACGGTTGGACAAGTAGTAGCTCTAGATCGTGATACTGGTATTAATGCTGAACTTCATTATTCATTTAAAACATCCCAAAACAAGTTTGTTATCAATCCTCACAATGGTGAGATAACAACCAAAACTAAACTGGATCGCGAAGATCAGGGTAGTTACCAACTAGAGGTCAAGGTCGTTGATAAGGGTGCAACTCCACTCGATGGTGCCACTAAAGTCAAAATCACGGTTCTCGACATGAATGACAACAAACCTAAATTTCAAGGAAGGCAACCTTACTCTGAGAGTGTGTTGGAGAATAAACCGAAAGGAACAGAAGTGATTCAGATGGTAGCTACCGACCCAGACGCTGCTGAAAATGGTTTTGTTTCTTATGTTTTAGACCCAGGTAAGACATTTCATTTTTAAGCTCAAAAATTTATTTTTATTGCAAACAGAAAAATTTAAGGTTTAATGTTGAGAGGAATATTTTTTTGGCGTTGATTTTATATTATATTAACGCTCATTTTTTGCATAATCGTTAATATTTTACTTTGCCTCCAAGATATAAATTGGTTGAAAAAGTGAGTTTTATGTACACAATTATACAAAATATGTGCTTTTTATGTGGGTTTTTAACATCATTTATTTTTTTCTAATTTCAGCCTCCACCAGTGCAGATGGTTTACAAAATTTTGCCATTCATCCAAAAACAGGTTGGATCACGACAAAAGAGGTCTTGGATTATGAGCAGAGGTCACGATATCTGTTGGTCGTTATCGCTAAAGATGGTGGGAATCCAGGCACCGACAACAGAGCAGAAGTAGAAATTAAGGTAAAAGACGATAATGATGAAGCTCCGTTGTTTCATGCCTCCAAGGTCACCTTTGATGTCATTGAGAATTCCCCGATTCGCACCACTGTTGGACGAGTTCAAGCTCATGATCTGGATTCAGGAGAAAATGGCAGAGTTTCTTACTATATTATGTCTGGAAATGTTTTTAGTCTTTTCGCTGTGGACATGTCGTCAGGGGAAATTTACAGTATCAGAGAAATCGACTATGAAGAATCTTCGTCTCATGTCCTGGGAATAAAAGCCATCGACAATAACATCCTGTATCCACGTAGCAACAACATTAGCGTCACCATCAACATCATTGACCTCAATGACAACCAACCCAAATTTGAAAAAGATCCCATAATTCTTCAAACTATTAAAGAGAACTCCATGATTGGTCAGGTAGTTTATACATTCACAGCAGTCGATAGAGATTCTGGTTTGAACGGCACAGTTCAATATTCCATCAAATCAGAGACTTCTTCAGGACCAGAACCGAACCACGGTTCATACTTCACCATTGACAGTAACTCCGGGCAACTTAAAATAGCCAATAATATCGACTATGAGAAAGTTCATCAGATTTCTTTGATCGTCAAGGCTCAGGATCGATGTCCGTCACCTAGCAACATATTAGAGAGTTCTGTTACCACGGTAGTATTTATTATGGATACCAACGACAACTATCCAATCTTCGAGTCACGAACTTCGATACATGTATCAGAAGACGAATCTGTCGGCTATCCCATCATGCATGTGATAGCGGTAGATAAAGATTCAAATAAAGATAAAAGTGGGAACAACATTATTGTTTATAATATTATCTCTGGAAACGAGGACAAACATTTTAAACTGGATTCTAATTCAGGTAATTATATGTTAATTTATCTTAATTATATGTTAATTTATGTTAATTTATGCAGATATTATGTAATATTACTCTTGGAGCAGAAAGAAACATAAAAGCTATCATTCATTCAGTACCTGAAGAATTAGAGACTCTTGTTTGAACATATTCCTGAGGTATATCAGGTTAACTGATAAAACATAATCTACTGGTCTTCATTGATTTTCTATTCTATTTCAGGTTTACTGACAATCTCCAGTCAACTGGACCGAGAGAAAAAAGAGCGTTATTTTTTAAATATAAGTGCTGAGGATCATGGTTCACCAAAACGAACATCGTACAAACTGTTAAATATAATAATAGATGATGTCAACGACAATATACCACAATTTAATAACAACACTTACTACGCTACTGTCCCCGAAAACACTGGCCCTGGAGCTACATTAATCACTGTTACAGCTGTAGACAATGATATAGGTAGGTCTGATTTAAATATTTCTGTTTAACAGTGAGAATAGCTTCTTTGATTAATTTGAGCTGTTCTTGAAAAATTTCAAAGATTTGTTTGTATTCTGATTACATCATGGACAGGAAATTATATCTTGTCATTTGTTTTTCTCTGATAGAACAGGAAAAACCAGCATAAAATAATTGAACTCAACAAAATTTGTTCTTTTAATCAGTAGAAATCGAATTATGTACAAGGGGTAATAACTCTATTTAAGGTTAAAGTCAGACAACAAACAAATAAATATTATGGCTTTCACTAATACATTTATCTTAGGGTTTCATCTAAAGCTATGTTCATGATTACAATCTACTGTTAAATTCTTGTTCTAATATTTTTGGGTAAATTCTGAATAATATTTAGACCAAATGAGATAAATTTTGAATTCCTGCCCTATTTGTAGATAACTGTCCTGCAGAAACGTTATCAGTCAAATCAGACTGACCAATCAGAAACTGTATTTATTTTTATATTGTCCAATTGTAGGTGACAATGGAAAATTAACATATTTAATCCCAGAAGGCATTGCTGATAATTTATTTGAGATTGAGGCTAAAACTGGTGTAATAACAACGAGGACAGAGCTTGATCGAGAAATCAGATCGGCATATATTATTACTGGTAGGATATTTATTGTCTTTACGGAAGTTTGGACTAACCCCCAAAGTTTATTTGTATACTATGTGGGATTGGCAATTTTGTGTTTAAACATCGACATCATGAAATTTCTCAAGTTAAAAAATTATCTGAATTCTTGAGATTTATCCAGGTTTGGTGCAAATTCTGAGGCCACAATAGTCTGTTGAGAATAATTTTAACTCATCTGGGGATAGAAATACATCCTTTAAGTTTTGGTTGGAAACAATATAAAGTTCACGTCCATGATAAACTTGCATCATCTTTCTATTTCAGTGTTAGTCTGAGATGGATATTTTTCATCCTAATAAAATGGCACTTTAGTTGAGCTCATGTCAATCGACTTGCATCATTTCTTAAATATTATTTCATTGAGAAGGTTACTCAACCCAGTACAATGGAGCTTAATAAGAGCTCATGTCAATCGACTTGCATCATTTCTTAAATATTATTTCATTGAGAAGGTTACTCAACCCAGTACAATAGAGTTTAATAAGAGCTCTTGTCAATAATATTGATCATTTTTAAAAATATTATTTCATTGAGAAGGTTACTCAACCCAGTACAATAGAGTTTAGTTGAGCTCATGTCAATAATATTGATCATTTTTAAAATATTATTTCATTGAGAAGGTTACTCAACCCAGTACAATAGAGTTTAATAAGAGCTCTTGTCAATAATATTGATCATTTTTTAAAATATTATTTCATTGAGAAGGTTACTCAACCCAGTACAATGGAGCTTAATAAGAGCTCTTGTCAATCGACTTGCATCATTTCTTAAATATTATTTCATTGAGAAGGTTACTCAACCCAGTACAATAGAGTTTAATAAGAGCTCTTGTCAATAATATTGATCATTTTTAAAATATTATTTCAGTTTATGTACAAGACGGAGGTTATCCTACTCAATATGACATGACAACTGTAGTTATAGAAGTTGAAGATATCAACGATAATTCACCAATATTCCAGAGTTCCTCTTATAGTTTAAATATTCCTGAAAATCGACCAGAATCTTCTGTCATGGCGTTTGTAGCCCATGATGCTGATGATGGAGAGAACGCTGTTTTATCTTATAGTATTATTGGTATGTATTGAATTTCAGAATCTTCTCTTTTATATTCTTCTTTCCTGTTTGGTGTCAAATTGTTTTTCACTTTGAGCTCCACTACAATTAATACTGAGAATACTCACTCTTCCAGGACACTAGATACCACTGTGTTATTGGGTTTTTCAACTGTACCAGTCTGAGGATCCACAATACTAAAATAAAATTTGATTCTGCTTCCATAATCCATTTCTCCAAAAAAATATTTTATCTATCACTGAAAATAAGATGTGTTTGAGAAACAAATTCTGCTCTTACAGATTATTTTATATTTTATATTTTTACAGGAGGAAATGACGGTCACTTTTTAATCAATGGTAAAACAGGGGAGCTAACTTGTACACCATTAGATAGAGAAGTTAAGAAGTTGTATAATTTAACAGTATCTGCTGTCGACGGAGGAACACCATCACGTAGAGGACAAGCCAACGTCTTTATTCAAGTTTTAGACGAGAATGACAACAATCCTGTATTTTCACGATCAGAATATTCTAAAACTATTAAAGAAGATATCGCTAAGGGGGAGGTGGTCCTGCAGGTTTCCGCCACGGATAAAGATTATGGACACAACGGAGAAGTGACTTTCTCTCTCGGAAATGATACAGAGGGGTTTTTCAGCGTTAACAGTACTTCTGGAGAAATTATTACTACTGGGTAAGACTTCTATTTTTAATATATTTAATTGCAAACATTTTGCTACTTTCCTTACCTGAAGATTATTGTGGTTACTATTAACAGAAGGCACTGGCACAGGTTTAAAACAGTGTTCACTAATTGTAGAGATTAGGGTGGTTGAAAGGTAACAAGTTACTATTAACAGAAGGCACTGGCACAGGTTAAAAGCAGTGTTCACTAATTGTAGAGGTTAGGGTGGTTGAAAGGTAACAAGTTACTATTAACAGAAGGCACTGGCACAGGTTTAAAGCAGTGTTCACTAATTGTAGAGGTTAGGGTGGTTGAAAGGTAACAAGTTACTATTAACAGAAGGCACTGGCACAGGTTTAAAGCAGTGTTCACTAATTGTAGAGGTTAGGGTGGTTGAAAGGTAACAAGTTACTATTAACAGAAGGCACAGGGTTAAAACAGTGTTCACTAATTGTAGAGGTTAGGGTGGTTGAAAGGTAACAAGTTACTATTAACAGAAGGTACTGGTACAGGGTTAAAACAGTGTTTACTAATTGTAGAGGTTAGGGTGGTTGAAAGGTAACAAGTTACTATTAACAGAAGGTACTGGCACAGGGTTAAAACAGTGTTCACTAATTGTAGAGGTTAGGGTGGTTGACAGGTAACAAGTTACTATTAACAGAATGTACTGGCACAGGGTTAAAACAGTGTTCACTAATTGTAGAGGTTAGGGTGGTTGAAAGGTAACAAGTTACTATTAACAGAATGTACTGGCACAGGTTAAAACAGTGTTCACTAATTGTAGAGGTTAGGGTGGTTGAAAGGTAACAAGTTACTATTAACAGAATGTACTGGTACAGGGTTAAAACAGTGTTCACTAATTGTAGAGGTTAGGGTCGTTGAAAGGTAACAAGTTACTATTAACAGAATGTACTGGTACAGGGTTAAAACAGTGTTCACTAATTGTAGAGGTTAGGGTCGTTGAAAGGTAACAAGTTACTATTAACAGAAGGTACTGGTACAGGGTTAAAACAGTGTTCACTAATTGTAGAGGTTAGGGTCGTTGAAAGATAACAAGTTACTATTAACAGAAGGTACTGGTACAGGTTTAAAACAGTGTTTACTAATTATAGAGGTTAGGGTCGTTGAAAGATAACAAGTTACTATTAACAGAAGGTACTGGCACAGGGTTAAAACAGTGTTCACTAATTGTAGAGGTTAGGGTGGTTGAAAGGTAACAAGTTACTATTAACAGAAGGTACTGGTACAGGTTTAAAACAGTGTTTACTAATTATAGAGGTTAGGGTCGTTGAAAGATAACAAGTTACTATTAACAGAAGGTACTGGTACAGGTTTAAAACAGTGTTTACTAATTATAGAGGTTAGGGTCGTTGAAAGATAACAAGTTACTATTAACATAAGGTACTGGTACAGGGTTAAAACAGTGTTCACTAATTGTAGAGGTTAGGGTGGTTGAAAGGTAACAAGTTACTATTAACAGAAGGTACTGGTACAGGTTTAAAACAGTGTCCACTAATTATAGACGTTAGGGTGGTTGAAAGATAACCATAATTAATTTTTAGTTACTTAAATAGTTACTTTAATAAATTGCATCTAAAGATAGAGTTATAATAACAAGAATTTATTTCAATTCTAAGAATGATCTTAATGTTTGTTTTTTTTGAAAATAAAAGAAATGAAGTTTGAGAAAAATGTCATATAATAGGTTTGCTGTAGTTCATAATAAATTGTAATTTGTTCAACTCTTTCACTGAGGTTTGTTTGAATTATATTTGTGTAAATTGTGTATATTTCAGTGTGTTTGAATTATATTTGTGTAAATTCTGTATATTTCAGTGTGTTTGATCGTGAAAAGAAAGGGCAGTATAATTTTGAAATTATCGCTCATGATGGTGGAATATCAGGTCCCAGGAACGCGTCGGCTATCGTAAGAATTACTCTTCAGGACGTCAATGACAACGCTCCAGTTTTTAACCAAGTTCCGTATCGAGTTGACGTGCCACCAAACACTGATGCCAACAAACAAATTCTGATTGTAGGCGCCAAAGATCCTGATTTAGGTGAAAATAAGAAACTGACATACAATCTTCAATCAGAGTCAGGATCAACCAGTCTTCAGTATTTTAGAATTGATCCCCAGACGGGTGAGATTGTCACCAAACAGTCACTGAGTAACGCTGGTGTTTATCATAATTTGAAAGTGGTAGTACTGGATAATGGGAATCCAAGACTGAGTTCTACAGGTAAGAAACTATTTACAAAATATAATATTTTACTTATTTTCAATGCCATTGAAATTTTTCATACAGGCCGTTAGCCCTTAATAAGTCAATAAATCTCCCTGGGCTTTTGGTCTTTACTTCTTAGACTTTTGCCTTCCTGATCTATATTTGTGATTTTATTGCTGAAAATTTAAAAATATATTATACTTTCGCTATTCGCTGATACTTTCATGTCTGACGTCTACTTCCGGTTTCACAACCTGACAAAGACAGAAAATATCAGAACTTTAGACTATTCTGGCATATGACCTAATTAACTTAGAAGGTTGATTTTTTCAGAGTCTCTTACAATTAGCCAATTTGTGGCTCTAGTTATATTTCTTACTATTTATTTTTCCAATTTCTAATCAATAATTTCTATCTTTATATTTTTCAGGAGTAGTAGAGATCACTGTAGGAACGACCACCCCAAATCCTCCGTTAAAATTTAAACAGGTCCATTACAGTGTGGAGATTAGAGAGCACTCCCCAACTCTAACACCAGTAATACGAGTATCTGCCACCTCCAGTGTTTCAGGGACAATACGTTATAGTTTCGCTAACGGCAATGATGATCAGATTTTTAGTATTGACCAAAATACAGGTAGGTCTATTCCCTCTCAAAAACTTTTGCGGCAACAGTTCTTTTGTTAGGGTGGAGTCCACGAGGGCTGGGCCCCAGCAAGTAAGAATCGAGCCCCAACAAAACCTTCTTCAGTTCAGCAGAGATTGATTCATTTACAGTGTTTACAATTTATTCCTGGTGACGGATCTGTGGCAATATTCGCTGTTCTAATCTTTATCATTCTGAATAGAAACAAAGCTATTTAGCAGGATTGATTGATCCATTGAAAAAAGACTTGATTATATGGACACTTTTGAATTGATAAAATATAAAATGACAGGTTAAGTAAACCATTCAACTGAAACCCTGAACCGTATTTGGGCATTCTAAAATATATTTCAGCATGATTCAATAGATTTTGGAAATGATCAACCCTAGTTAAAAAACTGTTTTAGGCCCTTGAAACGCCCTAATGCTGATTCTGTTAAAAGTCCTAGCTACATTACAAAAAGGAAGATTTCCTATCATCAACATTATTTAACACTATCGCCATCTATTTTGTAGGAGAAATCAAGGTAGCTAACTCTGATAAGTTAGACTATGAAGTGAGTCAGAGTGTAAGAATGGTCGTGGCAGCTGAACAATATAAAAACCACGCCTACGCCACGTTACAAGTTAACCTTACTGATATCAATGATAACTCTCCCAAGTTTGCTCAGACTAAATATGTATCTGCCGTCTGGGAAAGTAACGAACCAGAAACTTACGTTACCAAGGTAATATTGGATTTTTATGTGTGATGTATATATTTAGAACAGTTTGTGTATTTAGCAATGCGTAATTTTGATGTGCACAAATATATCTTGGACCAATAAAAAAGTTTAGCAAAAAAAAAACATCCCTTGTTAAATAAGTAAAACAGGGTGTAAAACTTCATCTTATTTCTAGTAAGAAAAATTCCTGCTAAGAATGATATCCCTGGTTATAAAGAAGAAATGGAATTTTTTTGCATTTTACAACTTACTGAGTATAAATCTATTTTCAATTCAATAGTTTTCATCGAGTGTCTGAAAAAACAGTTATTCCCCTTGTCAAGTCGTGACAATACTAGACTCTGTTTTTACATCGTTTCAGGTTCTAGCACGTGATGCTGACAGTGGATATAATGGCAGAATAACGTATAATATAATCGGAGGAAATAAAGACCGAGCCTTCGTTATTGACCCACCTCATACTGGTATCGTCAAGACAAATATTGACAAGTTAGATAGGGAGATACGAGATAGTTATAGATTAGTGATACAGGCTATAGATGAAGGGGAACAACCCAAATCTAGTTCCTGTATACTTAGTATCAGTATTATTGACGTCAACGATAACCAACCCTACTTCCCCCCACAGAAACCTGTCTTTCTTAAAGAGAGTAAGTCAGTATTATATTTTTCTGTTTTGCCCCAGGGTGGAAATATTTTCATATATATTTTTTTATTCCACTTTATACGACTCTAGTTATCTAACAGTCTGAGTTCCGTATGATATAATTTATTCATCTTATTTCTTCCAGATATGGAAATTGGTTCTCACGTAACCACGGTAACAGCTAGTGACGTGGACCCAGACCACAGTTTGATCTATGATTTCTCGACAGACGGAAACCCAGAAAACACATTCAACATCGATAGATTGAGTGGAAGGATAACTCTAGCGAAACCAGTAGATCACGAACAACGTAAACATTATATGATTGATATAAAGGTTTCTGACGGACTCCACACAGATTTTAAACAAGTAGATATTAATATTGATGATATAAACGATAATTCACCAGACTTCAGTCAAAAATCTTATCAGGTACGGACAAATATTTATAAAAAACACGAACTTAACTCTAGAATATTTCAGATTTCTAGTTACTTCATTGATTAATCACTTAAAAATGATTTAAAATTCAGTTTTATTAGCCAATCAAAACACAATATGGCATCTCAAAGGGGATTGGTCCAGAAATGAGGATTAAGGCACTAAATTACCCCTCCAACATTGGCTTTCAGACACTTATTTTGGGAAAGTTGGAATAAAAGCTTTTTTTTGGCTGATTTATGTAATAATCTACTTTGTATTTTCTAGGTCTCCCTACCAGAATTAACGAGTATGAATTATCCAGTAATATCAGTAAACGCGACAGATAAAGATACTGGTCAGAATTCTGATATAACCTACTCTATATCTGATAATCCTCTTGATAGTTTTTATATTGATAGTAATAACGGTACGTCATTCTAAACAGTTTCACGTATACAGAACCCAGATTTACCAACATCTAATTATTAACACACATTTTGTTAATTCAAATTAAAGAACTTAAAACATAAGTCCTGTGCCTGGGCTATCGTGGCTTTGCCATTAGTACAAAGTTACAACCTTTATTGCCTAATCTACTTGTTATAAGTTTATCTTATAAATCTTGTGATTGGTTTATAACTAAAAACTTCTTTTCATCTATTTTGAATTGTTTTTGATTGGTTTATTTTTAACTTCTTTTCATTGGTTTCTTTCCAATTGGTATGTACAATAATCTAGAAACTTTTATATGTATAATAAGTGATAAAGCTTGATTTAACTAATGATAATCTCAATTTCCTAAATAATAATTTCTGATAAATTTTTTCAGGAACCATTTTCACGAAGAAATCTATAAATAATACAACAGACGAATCTATATTACAACTGGTTGTCACGGCAACAGATAATGGCCGACCACGTCTGTCGTCAATGGTTACAGTACATATTCAAATAACGAGTGTCAATAAGTTCGCTCCCATCTTTGATGAACAGTTATACATGTAAGTTAGATATAAACCCCTAAATCTTTTATTGAACTCTTCCATTTCTATTAATATGTAACAGTGTTATACATGTTTAGAACAGTACATTTGCTGAATTAGCAGGATTCAAATTAACCAACCTAGCCCTTACTTCTAATTTTATTTTCATCCATTTCAGGAAAAATATCAGCGAAGCTAGTAACCGTGGTGATCTATTATTACAAGTTCGTGCTACAGATAAAGATAATACACATCACCATGACGATATAGATTATACCTTGATTAGTGGCAGTACCGATATATTTCAAATACGTCGTAGAACCGGAGAAATATTCCTGAATGGTGACCTTGACCGAGAGAAAGTAGGTCAATATACTCTCAAGGTCATGGCCACAGATCGCGGAGATACTCCGAAAAGTTCCACGTCGAATATCAACATTATAGTGACAGACGTGAATGATAACGCTCCATATTTTCTTGAAAAGGATTATTTTAAAATTCTGCCTGAAAATTTCACGTCTGAACAAGTTTTTCTGATAGTTGGTGCGGAAGATGCAGATATTGGTCCAAATGCTGATATTCAATATACCATTACGTCTGGAAACGGAAAAGGATTGTTCATCATTCACGGAACGAAAGGAGAAATCTCCATCATGACTGGAATGGAGCTGGATTATGAAACCGACCAATCACATCGCTTGATCATTCGAGCCGTGGATTGTAAATCGTGCCCGCAGGAAGTGACCAAGTTATCTGCCTTTGTTACCGTGGATATTAACGTTACTGATATTAACGATTCCAAACCGAAATTTCCTGTTGATCATTATGTAGAAAGTGTGTATGAAAATCGCCCAGTGAGAAGTATCGTGTTTCAGGCCCACGCTAACGATCGTGATAGTGGAATGTTTGGATTAGTTCGATATTCCTTGATTCCAGGACAAGATTCAGACTATTTCACCATGGATAGTGACACAGGGTATGTTCGTACTCAGATGAGTTTCGACTACGAGGAGCGTAAAGCGTATCGTGTGAGAATATCCGGTGTAGATATTGGAGGATTGCGAAGTGAAGCGAATGTGACCATTTTGATTCGAGACGAGGATGAATTCGCTCCGACCTTCATCAAGAAGACGTATGACTTTGATATCCAGGGCAATGCTAAAAAAGGGGATATCCTGGGTCAAGTCGGTGCTCTTGATGAAGATGGTGGAGAAGCTGGAAAAGTTTATTTCTATTTCAAATATCCGAGCAGTTACGATTATTTCGCAGTTAACGCGTCCTCAGGTGTGATCAGTGTTGCGCGTAGTTTCCATGAAGACGTTCCAGAAGACAACAGAGTTAAAAGAGCTCTGAAAGAGGAGGAAACTACTATTGTTGTCATAGCAACATCAGGATTAGATAACTCTATGGAATCTACAGCCACCATTGCTGTGAAAATCGACAGAACATGTGACGGTTGTAAATATGTCCCGAGTACTAAAGAGGAAGGATTGAGTCCCGTCGTTCTGGCTCTTGTGATAGTCGTGTGTATTATCATAGTTATAGTTGTCATAGTGATTGCGGCTGTCTTATTTATCCGTAAGCGTAAACATAAAGCGAAAAAAGCTCAACCAGAGCCTCGGCAATATGAACCTTCATTTGATCAAATCCCACCTGCAATTTTACATCCCAACGTAGGACCCCCGCCTTATAGACAAGTCAGTCCGTACGATCGTAACATCGCTAACATCACTAGTTCCGACATTTCTAATCATTCCCATAATTCAGCATCAAGTGGGCGTGGCTCTGCAGAGGAGGAAGAAGACGAGGAAATCCGAATGATTAATTCCAACAATTTTATCAACCATTCTCAAGGATATTTACGGAGGAAAGCGATGCCGGATTCAGGAATACAACAAGATGACGACAGCATGTCTGAACCGAGCGTACAAAATCATCAGGAATATCTAGCAAGATTGGGTATAGACTCAACCAAAATCGGGAATAAAAATAAAAAGAAGAATGTGGCTCCCTCTGTTGAGAGTATGCACCATTTCTCTGATGAAGGTGGTGGGGAGGGAGATATAGGAATAGATTATAACAAACTGACTGATGGGGAGACGGATGATGAGGTTGCTATGATTGATAAAAATCGTGTTTTAGACTTTCCGAACCCTGAGAAACAACACGCAGGTTCGTTATCCAGTGTAATTAATAGTGAGGAAGAATATAGTGGATCTTATAACTGGGACTATTTATTAGATTGGGGTCCACAATATCAACCCCTAGCTCACGTCTTCGCTGAAATCGCCAAATTAAAGGACGATAATGTTACACCGAAAAAACAACCAATCAGAACAGTGCCGCAAAAACCATTACTTAATAAACTTAATCCACAAGTCAAGATGGTGCCGCCCCCTATGATTACAAACACACCCCCTAAGGCCATCAGTCAGCCGGCGTCTCGGACTAGTCATTCTTCATCTAGCAGTAACCAATCACAACGAGCCAGTACCATGGATACTTCATTACCAAGTCTACCTAGATCTCCCATTAGTTATGAATCAAACTATAACTCTCCAGCATTGACTCCTTCCTTTACCCCGTCTCTCTCACCCCTCGCGGCTCACACCCCTTCCACCATTTCCCCCGCCGTCAGTTCTCAAGTTAACTCTGGACCTAACTCCGGTCAAAACACTCCGGGTCGTATTGTCATCAGAAACGGACAAATTGCTTTGACTTCTGCATCCGATCCCCAAGAATTCCGAATATAATTGTGATTTTTTTTAAAAGATTTTTGTGAGAAAGATAGTGACTTATAAAATGAAGTAACTGATTTTTAGCATAAATGAACAAACTTTGTAAAATTTTTAATATATTTCTGTGTTTTGTGCTAAGATTTTATTTAATGAAAATTTCATATCATTTTTATATGAACATAGTATAACATTGTGTATATATTCATTATCATATCTTATACCAGATTAACCCACATAAATACTTCATGTTGAACAGTAGGATGTAAAACTCCCTTCCATTAATTTCCTTTCATTTTTAATATCCTTTTTATATTTTCCAAAACCAAGTTTTAGTTTTAGTTCAATTTACAAATTTTTAATTTATTTACTAATCCATTACTTTTATATTAAAAAAAACAAAAGTTTTAAGATCTGTTTTTTGTTGTTTTGTTCTGTTTTTGGTGAAAGGGTTTTGTTTTTTTAATGAAATTCACAGAAATGTCTGTTCCGAGGTGTAAATAGAAGATGTATGGTATTCGGTTCAGCAGGATTTGACTTGTATATTTCACCTGTATCAACAATCCTGCGCCATGCACCTTACCTCATCTTTTCCCACCTTTAACAACATCTGAATTTTAGTTTCAAGTTTTATTTTTGCTCTTAGTACATCAAATATCACTCAGGTGTCAAACAAATTATTGAATAAGGATTTAGAGTACCCAAGTATGAGGTAAACATTGTAAAATACGGTAAAAAAAATACATTTTAGGATGTAGGTGTAAATTTCCAGTGGATTAACAAGTTAGAATTGTTTGGTACCATGACTCAAAGTTTATTTTATTTATGTAAAATATAGTAAAAAAAGACAAGATTTAGGTGTAAAATTCAAGTGGCTTAACAGGTTGGACTCAAACTTTATTTTACTTCTCAACCTTCCAGCATTATCATATCATATATTATAAATAAATTGTTTTGACAATATGCAATCTTAAATTGTATTCTTCCTTTGAAGTGAAATTGTCAAACGAAACTGTGTAGCAATCTTACATAGAAATAATAGATATCTGATTGTATGGTAACTTGTACTGGTGCGTTGTTTTGTATGTAAAAGTCTATCATTTTGAAGGTGACATTTTATATTTTACTATGCAACTTATCTCTGCTGATAAAATGTATGAATTATATTTTTATTCCTTACAATGCAAACCTAGTAAGTTAATAATACTATTAAATAAATATTATATTTTATGTCGAGCATTAATATTTGTGAATATTTATGTAAGATTGACCCCTAGTCTGAAACATCTACCTCTATTCCAGCCTCTAATTGATATTTTGACAGTTGTCAGCTGGAATAGAGACAGATGTTTCGATCTAGATTCACCCCGTGAACACAAACATTTCACTTTATTTTCTATTTAAAGTTTATGTGGTTTATATTAGAATGAGGAAACAAAATGTTTAGCTATATTTTCTACCTCAAAGTGAAGTGGATTGTTTGTCTTAACGGGGTAACTTGGTACAGGATATTCACAAATAATTCTTTACTTTAAAAAGATTGGGTTTTCTTTGCTTTTATATTTGATAGAAGCAAACTTAAGCTATCTGCATCACTTTTGAAAAGCGTTTGTTTACATTTTAGGAAAAGAAATTTACATAATCGATAAAGAAAAGTCGAAACTAAAGCCTGCTGCAGTCGAGAGGAAATAGCTGAGCTGCCTGTTTCAAGAGGTCGGGAGCTGAGCTTTTTCTCCCGTCTGCTCTGAAATTTTCAGTGATATTTCTGGTTTGATAGATTGGCTGAAAATTTGACTTATTAATTCTCATATTAGTTATACAAAAGTTGTACATTGTGTAAATTTTGTATTATTTATAAAATGTTTATGTATATATAGAAACAAAGTTGGATATGATCTGGCAGGTAACAAAAACATCCCTCATTTAGAAAATGATCTCTTCCAAACACACATAACACTGAATCATGCTAATTGATAAGATGCACGTGTAGAAGAGTTCAATAGAAAATTGAAGGATGTTGTCCCTGATTTTAATAATCAACTATTCTGCCCATCTGTATTGAATGTATGTATATGTGGAAGAGTTCAATACAAAGTTCAGGGGTGTCTAACTGTCTGATTATTTCCAGCTCTGTATTAAGATATAAATAATGTATTTAAATTTTTATACCTGATATTAAAAAATATCTCAGAAATCAAAATTCACTTGAATCATTTTTCATGTAAAATACATGATAATAAATTGTCATTAAAATTGTTTTTGATTTTTCCTGTCATACTCTTGTTAAAAGGGTCAGATTCGCCATTTCTGGGGGTTAATTTGGGTCTTGAATATATGTAAATAGTCTTCAGAAGAACTAGAAGTGTACAAAAATTGAATCATTCCTTCACAAATATTTTATACTTTACTACGATGTGAATTTTACTCAGGTACGCCTCATTCCATGGAGCTAATTATACACCATATACTGGTGTGTATTATATACTGATGTCTACTATATACTGCCTCATTCCATGGAGCTAACTATACACTATATACAGGTGTATACTATATACTGATGTCTACTATATACTGCCTCATTCCATGGAGCTAACTATACACTATATACAGGTGTATACTATATACTGATGTCTACTATATACTGCCTCATTCCATGGAGCTAACTATACACCATATACTGGTGTGTACTATATACTGGTGTGTACTATATACAGGTGTGTACTATATACTGGTGTGTACTATATACTGGTGTGTACTATATACTGGTGTGTACTATACACTGGTGTGTATTATATACTGTAGTGTACTATATACTGGTGTGTACTATATACTGGTGTGTACTTTATACTGGTGTGTACTATATACTGGTGTGTACTATATACGGGTGCGTATTATACTTGAGTATACTTGATATGTTGGTTTGACTCGATTCAATCTGAGAGCTTTATTTACGAACACATTAAATTAATTAAAATCGAAATTAAAACATAGATATAAATAAATATAATACAATTGAATTTGAAAGTTACTAAATCATTTTACATTTTAATTTGAGCGATACTGTACAACTGATTCATTAATCACAAAAATAAAAATAAACAAAAATTAATAATGATCAAAATATATATCTCTCCAAACATAAAAAATTCAACAAACATTTCCCTCAGTGAGGAGAGAGGACTAGCGTCCCAATATACATCGTCTAATAATAAAACAAACACATTTAATTTCTGGGTAGCTCTGTGGTGATAACGTGGAAGGATGCATATATATTGATTTACAACTCAGGCAGCCATTTTATAGGCGTGTTGTTTTAAGTTTACATCCTATGTATTTCTCTACAGGATGGCAGCACCATCAGAGATGAGTCTACCATCAGAGATGAGTCTACCATCAGAGATGAGACTCGTTGTTTGTTTATACAGGCATTTTTAATTTATATCAGTGATGAAAACTTGGTGTCATGAAATCTGGTATTTTCATATGATCTGCTTACAAATCTTACAAAATTAGACCTTTACCAAAGCTATGGGTTAACAATAAAACAAACACAATTAATTTACACTACAATAAACATTTCTAAACAATCCAGTTATTATTAAAAAGGCACAATCCATAAACATACAAAAATACAATAGACCATCCTCTTGAATATAAGTTAGGTGATGTCTTGTGTTTCTATAAACAGACAATCCCAAGCTCAGTGTATCACCCAGCTTCACCTTCCAAAGCATAGTTTCTTTTAATCAAAGATGAACTGAACAAAATATTCTCATCCTAATAAGAGATACAGATTGTTGAAATTGAACACTGCCAGCTTGTATAGCAAATATTCTACAAAACCACTAAGCTAATTCTTTACAAAACAAATTAACTAATAAATAATAGAACACAATGTTGAACTAAAACTCTGTTAGAAGACATTTTGAAAGATAAAATATCTCCATGATCTTCTAGAGATCTGAATAACTAAACAAAGTACTAAAGATCTGAATATAATTTTACTTCCTCTCTTCTATAATGTGTCCATGAAAAGTTTCGTCTCTAAATTAAAATCATGTTCGTTATAACCTTTCATTAATTAATCAAATTTTACAATTTATTCATTTTATTTACATAATTGAACACTATATTCATAAATATATTCATAAAAATACTCCACATGAAGGATTTCAACACTTGATCCATGTTTTGAGGTTTTAAAGTGGATTTCTTGACATGGTACAAAGTGTTGTCAATTACAGTAAAACGTAAGATATCACATGGATTGGATGGTGATAATATTAACCAATCACATTTCTAGATTTTAGTCACAAACATCCTAACTTGGTTGGTTGGTAGATGACAAGTTAACGTTCGCTTCCAGCAGATGCTGATATCGCAAACTAACTTTAAAATAATAAAAAATGTACATCAAATAGAAAGAACTCTGATTGGTTGATTTTATTGTAGTGACAAAATAGACCAATCAGATCCTTAGCTTGTCAGAATCATCATTACACTATGAATTAAGGACTCTGATTGGTTGATTTTATTGTAGTGACAAAATAGACCAATCAGATCCTTAGCTTGTCAGAATCATCATTACACTATGAATTAAGGACTCTGATTGGTTGATTTTATTGTAGGATAATATTGAAAATTTATAATCATCTAATTTTTATACTACAAGCTGAGCAAGATGAGAAGAGCCGTTAGACGGGAGAGAAGAACGGATATTTGAGGAGTTAATGTCTAGTTAGTTTTCAATGTACCGACGCCTAGCTGTTTAGCCACAAGGGGACCAGAACAGGGCGCCACGCTTGGGAAATTCGGGTGAAGCTAGCTCCTCACAGCTAGCAGTTGTCCACTGGTCACTTAACATGGCAGAGAAGTCATTGGAACGCACACACATAATCCTCCATAGTGAACGATTGATTTCAGAATGCCTGGATCTACTTATATGTGAACAACTGACTGCACTGCTCCACTCTGTTCTCCTCTGTGCTGTCTTGCTCTGCTTGTAGTGTGAATAAACCCTTAGACAGAAAAGTCTCAGCCTTTTATCGAGAAAAGGTTCAAGTAGAAAAAAAATGACTTCTTTCAGCTGATAAAATTGAAGATTGTCTCTATAGGTACTAGTTTTCGAATTTGTAAATTTATTAAAAAATATAATTTAACTTAAAAACAAAGGTTCATATACTGAGTTTTTGGAAAATTGTTGATTTAAATATAACTACAAACACATATTGGAATTCGATAATAAATAATAAATTATTTCATAAATATCGCATTTTTCTCTATATATTTAAATTTAAGAAATTCAAAACTATTTTAGCATATTCTCGGCTTTAAGTAACAAAACTTTCACATCCTTTATCCATCGTCACAATGTCAAGCTATTGTGAACTTGTACTTATACCTTGACTGCAATAGCCACTCTTTGTGTATCACGAAATGTAACAATTCAATTGGATTGTATGCCAGCGAATATAGCTAATCAATGTTTACGGACTTTCTTTTGAGGGTCTGATTAGCTGTATTCCAATTAAATCATTGCATTCTGTGATACAAGGAAGGTTGCTACTGCAGTCAAGGTATAAGAAGAATTTTGTAATAGCTTGACATTGTGATACAAGAAATGTGGCTATTAAGTACAAAGCTTGATAATAGGAAGATACAAGAAAGATGGTTATTGCTGTCAAGGTATAACTACAAAGTTTGTAAAAGCTTGATATTAGGTAGATACAAAGTGACTATTGCAGTCAAGGTATAAGTATGAAGTAAGTAATAGCTTGACATTTTGAAGAAACCCTCTACCAAAGACCTGATTTTTTGGTTTGATTTTTAGAATAATAGGAGTGATGATCTTTATGATTTTTATCTAATATAAATTTCAACCAATGGGAATTGTTTTATGTTACAAGGTGGTCTATTTCTCTACAATATTTACTCTGATACTGTGTAATACTGGAGCACTGACTAGCCAACTAGCCTGTAGTTCTACACACATCTCCCAGATGTTCATAAATATTTTTACTTAACTTTAGTTAAAGGGATTGTAAAGAGGTTTTCTGAATTTTTTATGTGTATCGGGGACACTTATAGCATCATTTTAATTTTCAATCAGACGTCTGTGGTTCCTACAATTTCACTAAAACTAAGTGTTTGATGACGTCACTAATCGCAAAGGGTCTTAATTGATAAAGCATATTTTGGTAATTTTTTTGAGAAAAACCTCCTTACAATCTTTTTAATACAATAATAATATTAATAATAGTAGTAAGGCACTTATTTCAAATAATCACAAAATAACTTTAATATTAAAATAATTAATTACCACTTCCAAATCTAATGGTAATATATATCAGAAATTCAAAACAAGTTTTCTAGCCCTTTAATATGTAGCAGCTCAACTGAAGCTGTTTAAAGGATACTACCTCTTAAAATTAAGATAAAATTTAAAGTCTCAAACTTGGTCAACAAATGAATGTATAAATTCATCAGTTAGACTTACCAGGTGTCATGATTAAAGAATATAATCTTTATATAACATGATATATCTATTAAACTAAATAATAATTACTTAGTCTAACAAATTATTACTTAGTCTAACAAATTATTACTTAGTCTAACAAATTATTACTTAGTCTAACAAATTATTACTTAGTCTAACAAATTATTACTTAGTCTAACGAATTATTACTTAGTCTAACAAATTATTACTTAGTCTAACAAATTATTACTTAGTCTAACAAATTATTACTTAGTCTAACAAATTATTACTTAGTCTAACAAATTATTACTTAGTTTTATGGATTTATTAGATTATAGAGGGATTCTGTTGTATAGTTATAACACCAGGTAAGTCCACTGATGAACAAAGACTAATTTTATCCTAGTTTAGAAATTTGAATTTTTTGGTCATCCTAAGAGGTAGTTGTACCTTTAAAATAAGATTACCAATAAAAACACTATTGATATCTCATACAGTTTAAACAGTGATAATTATCTTCTAGCACCTGTCAGTAAGAGTACACGGTCATGATTTTAACAAATAAATGGAATTGCCAGCATCATACAAGAAACATTTCAAATATGAAATTGGATTTGGAAATAAAAGTTGAGCACTTGAATCAAACTTAACAAAACAAAAAATATTTAAATTTTCATAAATTTTTGCATATAAAATATAGAGTTTATTGTTAAATCTTTCTATTCTAGTCCTAAATGAAAAGCTGAATACAATTTAAAGCTAATGGTGAAAATATTAGAAAATCAACTGTTTTTGAACAAAATAACCAAATGAAGTTCATAACACAAAGATAACTCCCTGACCGGATTTATTCAATATTGCCATTTTTACCAGACTGTCAAACAATCCCCATTAATCAATCTTAAATTTTCCATTTCTTTATAAAATTCTACAATCCAAATTCAGTATGAATAAGGACAAACTTTTCCAGAAATGGAGCCCTGAACCTAGACTAAATAATTTCAACATTAATAAAATAAAATGAAGGCTTGCATCCTATTCAACACTATGAATTGTGCACAATGGAGGACATTTAATTTCATCAAGATGACTGATAAAACTTCATAAGAAAAATAAAAATAAATTTAACAAAATACATTCATTGCATCAATCTAGAGGTAACGACCAATCTTTTTTCACATCTTTTAAATTTATTTTTTCCCATTTCCATTTTTGGGTTTCTGAGTCAGCATCACAGGGATTCATAAAAACTTCAAGATTTTCTTTATCACAGTCTAAACACTGACCACTCACTGGATGAAATATCTGGTTTGTTTGCTGAAAATAGGGAAAATATGATAAATGAAATGAAGTTTTTCATCCTACTTAATTTCTCACTAGTTAACAGTATTTATCTATTTCAAATATTCACAAGATAGAATAATAAAAGAAAAGAGAAACAGAAAGATGCTCCAGAATCAATTTAAAGGGACAGATGCGCCCTTTTGGGGGGTTGATTTGAGTCTTGAATAAATGTAAATAGTCTTCAGAAGTACTATAAATGTATGAAAATCACATAATTCCTTTAAAAATATCTCAACTAGGAATTTCTTTTCCTATTTCTATAGATATCTTTTGTATAAAAATTCTTTAAACTAGGAATTTCAAAGGTAGATAATTCTGGACACACATGGATTTGAAGACTTAATGAGCTGTGAACACTATTACTGATTGGCTTAACTAAAAAATTCCAGTTTCTTAAACTATTGACCAAAGAAAATGGCCCAGCAAATGTATCTTTGTTCACTATTTAGGGATGTTATTTTAAACATGTACAATCTAAAACAAACAGATCCTTTGTATTTGATTCCATCAAGAACAACTTTATCTTGACAGAGATTAGCATGGTTTAAAATCAGTTTCGCTTGTGGATGTTTTTTGTCAAATAGAAATGAAATGAATGGAGTTTTATGTCCTACTTTTTCTGCACCATGTGGGCTAATGAAGATGGGCAACGCCATGCAATGAGGGAAATTTTGCCAGGACAGCAGCATTAACCTGCTCTTTTTCAATTTCCAACTGTCGGGGGATCTTTAACGTGCGCAGCCTGTAGCACACGGTCCCATCCGAACGACTTGACACTTTTTTCCATGTCAGCCCCTCTTACCTGCATCACTGGAAACCAGGTTGAAAAATCCGAAGATATTATCTCAACTTATGGCAGTTAGCGAGCAAGCGTCTAACTCACTGAGCCATCGCGGCTCCCTTTATATCAAATAGAGAAATATATATTTCTGGTGAAAGAGTTTGACTTACCAAATTATATTTAAATCTCTGGTTTCCACCCATTCCATGACAATTATATAATATTACTGGAGATTTCGGCGCCGAATGAGCAGCATCAAAACAAACTGCTCGAGATTTAGGTCGGATATCTTTATGCCAAGAAAATTCAAATTGCTGAAAAATTGAAATTTGTTTTTTTCTTATACAGTGTTTCAAATATAAAAAATAAAAATATAAAATTGCTGAAAAAAAGAGAAAATCTTTGAAGAAAAACAGAACAAATATATTGGAAAATAGAAACAACTATATTTTACATGGATGATAACTTGAGTTCACAAGGCACAACAGATCTGTATTTATATATTCACACTGTATTATTCGATTAAAAGTGAGTTTAAGTAAGAGATAGTCTACCTGTTCTCCACCAGCTCCCTGTCCATCTTTAATACAACTCTCTAGCTGAAATCTCTCATTCTGGCCTTTAAATCTGGTGTCAATACATTTCTCATTGGCTTGATTTCGTACCTATTCAATATATAAAAACAATAGATATTCATATAAACAACAAATCAATCTATTTCTCTATATTTCTATCTAATTTTGTCTCACAAAGACCAACAATGTCACACAGTATGGAACTAAACCAAATTTTGTCATAATGCTCTTTATTTTAACTATTGAGGGATCTTTAATATGTACAGCCTGAAGCACACCGAGCTACACATTAGATTTTATCTCTTCAACCTGCATCACTAACACAGGGCTTCACAATAGATATTATCTCTTTATCAGTCCCTTCAACCTGCATCACTTACACAGGGGTAAACAAGATTTAAAAAATCCTTAGACAAACAAATATGTATAACTTTGAAAATAAAATAAATTTCCTACCTCACCGGAAGCCATTGGAGTAGGTTCTATAGGAGGATAAACTTTAACTAAATCAAACGCAACTTCAGTCATAAACCATTTAAAAGATTTACAATGTAATTTATCACGAATAGCTTTCTGTTCCGTTAAATCTCCAGCATCTAATGTTTTATAATGGGGGCGTCGTTTATACAGATATTCAGCATACTCATCCATCCACACCTCCGCCACACGTTTATAATTTCTACCAATAAAATCACCCACTCCTGGATTAGGGAATGGAGCAAATTTTCTGTAAACGTGACCAATTCGTGAACATGGTGAATCAACCATCATTCCACCACATTGCCAAATCTAAAATTTAAATAATAAACACCAGTTAAGAAACAAATTTCACACAGAGTAAATTTGGTGCACGCCAAAAGTGATCAAATGCACTCCAAAAAATCGACAGCAGATGCTGGCTAATAGTCGAGAGTAAGTAGTGTTGCTCTAATATCTCTCTGTATACAGGTATATTTATCCAGTATAACATACATCCAGATAATGTTTCAACACAATTTTCATGTGTCATCAACAATTCATAGAGTACAGATAATATCATATCAACTGAAACAAACCTTAAAAGAAAGTTCATACTGTTCACCACCCCAGATATCCAAACCAGGATCATATCCTCCTAGCATCCAGAACCATTCCTGATGTATAGCGAATAACCCTCCTGCCATCACTGGACTCCTAATAAAATATACACATTTCAATATATGACCTAATGAAGTACCTATCCATAATAATTGTGTTTTTAATATTGATATGGATGTCTAGGTGAACAAGCCATATTGAAACACTGTTTACTGAAATAGGATGATATAACTTTTAATTTTCGACACAGTCGAATATTTCTTTTGATCTTTTGAGGATGGGAACCAGGGGTATATAACGTATATTCTAAGATTTCAGACTAATTTCCTTCTAATGCCAGTTTATAAAACACTGAGTAGTACAACATTCTGTAATACTGTTTATTTGGTGAGATGAGAATAGAATTATTTTTAGGTTTGTCATCCTTGTTTGCCTTTAGAGAGTCCACATAGTTAATAATATTTATTTGGTACATTTTTTTTTATAAAAACTGAATAATAAACTGAATAATAAACTGAATAATAAACTGAATAATAAACTGAATAATAAACTGAATAATAAACTGAATAATAAACTGAATAATAAACTTACTTGAATGGATCAGCAGGATGTTTTTTATCTTCAGGTAGAAGTGGAAGACGTTTATAAAAAAATTCCCAATCGAAGGCACCACGAGCCCCCTCATCCTGGGCACGATAAGCGAAGGTTTCGTAATCTATCACGTCTATAAATGGACAAACAACTGTCTTCTGATCTCTAGCTATTGGATCTGAAATATACACAATTAATTAGTACAAGCTTTACCCACTATACTTACTCACTTATAATTCATATACTTCCTCATGTCAACAATTCATTAGCTTCTACCAATATTTCGTCAATTTCGGGTTTCATTTTGCAGTTCCGTTTGTTAGTTCTTAGTCTATTTCTACACTGTATCAAAACCAGGTCATGGACCATGTTCAGTTAAATATATCTAAACAATAAACTGTTACCCTATATTATGACAAAGGTTAAATAACAAACACAATTTTATGGTATACTACTCCTTAGTTTTATTACACAGATTGTTGAAACATAGTGTATAATAAAACCCAGGAGTAGTAGAAGATGACAATGTAGATTGTTGAAACGTAGTGTGTAATAAAACCCAGGAGTAGTAGAAGATGACAATGTAGATTGTTGAAACATAGTGTGTAATAAAACTAAGGAGTAGTATACCATAAAATTATGTTCCGTTATTTAATGTGATCTCTACCCCTAAATTTCGCTAAAAGATTATGACAAAGGTTGGCTTGAAAACTGAATAGATACATTCCCTGTTTCATAAAATCTGCATTTACTAAAATTGATCTTAAATTTAGGTTTTATTGACCAAGTTGAATATTGTAATTTCTCAAAATCTGGTTTAACCTTTGAGAAGTTTTTGAGAAGAAGATTTGTGGATCAAGAAAGATGAATTCTTACCTAATAATGGAGGTAACCAGTTGATATTGACCTCACAATGAGAATCTAAAAATATTAAAACATCTCCCTTTGCTGCCCGGGCTCCCAATAGTCTAGTTCGTATTAACCCTTCTCGTTTCTCCGCCCGTACAATACGAACTTTAGTATAATGTTCAGCAACATAATCATCCAACTGTTGTTTACAATGTTCTAAAATCAAAAACATCTTGACATGGTAACTTTTAAATTTGTGAGGCGTCTTTCATTATCTCTGTTTGAATGGTAATTCTTGTTATAAATACTTCATCAGTTCAGAATAAAATATCTGATTTGGTAACTGATTTGTCACAAATTCTATTCGGAATCTTTGAATTTGACTTGATATTTTGAAGGCAATAAGTAGGATTGTTTTCAGGCTAAATCAAATTTGAGCCTTCAAATCTATGTGTGTACAGAATTATCTGTGTTTGAACGTTAAAAAGAAGAGATATCTGAGGTTGCTTTCGGGGCTGCGAGGGGGGTTGCCCCCTCTGGCTCTCCGCCACTGAGCCTTGTATAGAGTTAATTGAAAAGTCATGTATGGTTGATGATATTTATTATGATGATAGACAATACATAAAAACCCGGGGGGACATCACAAACATAAACATACAGATGAATGAAAAGATGATAACAAGATGGCCGTCAGACCATGCTTACACGACTACTACATGTTCATCGACTGCCGGGCCAGAGGGGAAGTCTTTCTTTTGTCCCTTGACAACTTCCTGTAACAACACGGAGCTAATCACTATTTTATGTTAACATTAATGAGCTTACCTTTTGAGCTGAAATCATCAACTAAGATGACCTCTTGAAGTAAATGAGGTGGAGATCTGTCGATGACTGATTGAGCTGTACGTAATAATGTAGACCAATGTTCGTTATGAAATGGTACTATAATACTGGCTGTAGGTAGTTTGTTTAAATACTTCTTATTTTTACATCTAAAATACACAAAATACCTCTCAATAATATATAACACATTTTATATCTATAGCCAATATGTTCAGATACATCTAAAGTAGAAATAAGCCATAACTTGAATGACAGTTTTGTATTCAACTTATTTGCAGCTATTGAGTTGTTGACATATATTAAAATTTTGCATCTTCAATGAATTGAATTGAAATGAATGCAGTTTTATGTCCTATTGTCCTGCACCATGTGGGCTATAAAGACAGGCAATGCTATGAGGGGTACAGTTAGGGAAATATTTCCAGGACAGTGGCATTAGCCTACTCTTTTTTCGATTTCCAACTGTCGAGGGATCTTTAACGTGCACACTGCACAGCCTGTAGCACACACGGCCTCAGTTATTGTCCCATTCGCACAACTGGCCTGCATCATTGAAAGAAGGAAATAAGGTATTATCTAGACCTATACCAGAATTGAACCCTGGACCCTCAAGCTAGAAATACTTACTGTTCATGTCTAATATCTTTTAAAGCTCTCTGTAAAGATATTTTATCACTAGCGTAGGCATTAAAACCATTTACTTTATATAGATCTCCCTTCTTCTTCTCTTCTTCTGCTGTCAGTATGACGGCACTACCTTGTTCTCCTAGACCTACAATATAGATATATATCTTATTACAGTTATTACAATTCTTCTCTTTCTCTGATGTTAATTGTCATTTTATTGCAGGAGTGAAAATCATCCCCGTACCCACACCTCCACCCTAAATAGTCATTTCAGTTGATTTCTATACCATTATACATATAGCTACTAATACTACCAACACCCTTCTTCCATCTCATACCCAATAATCCTACCCTAATTTCCCCTAAAAATCACCCACAAACCTGTCCTCTGTTGTTCCTCAGCTATAGCCTTGTAGTCATGCCAGTCTATTTCTTTTATTTCATTTGTATCTAAACCCTGCAATATATCATTAATAAATATTCAATATACTATAGTTTTCTTACTTTACTTATTTGCCTTAAGTAAAATTTGGAAAGTTAACATCCATTTCTAAAACTAGCTGTCCTGATGAGGATTGTGTATCTGAAACGTGTCAGCAGTATGAGATGAGCTCTAGTCAATAAGCTAACATTAAGTCCTATAATTAGAAAGTTAACCTCCATTTCTAAAACTAGCTGTCCTGATGAGGATTGTGTATCAGAAACATGTGTCAGCAGTATGAGATGAGCTCTAGTCAATAAGCTAACATTAAGTCCTATAATTAGAAAGTTAACCTCCATTTCTAAAACTAGCTGTCCTGATGAGGATTGTGTATCTGAAACATGTGTCAGCAGTATGAGAAGAGCTCTAGTCAATTAGCTATCATTAAGTCCTATAATTAGAAAGTTAACCTCCATTTCTAAAACTAGCTGTCCTGATGAGGATTGTGTATCTGAAACATGTCAGCAGTATGAGATAAACTATATGTAATAAGCTATCATTAATTCCGATATTGGAAAGTTAACAACCATTTCTAAAACTAGCTGTCCTGATGAGGATTGTGTATCTGAAACATGTCAGCAGTATGAGATAAACTATATGTAATAAGCTATCATTAATTCCGATATTGGAATGTTAACAACCATTTCTAAAACTAGCTGTCCTGATGAGGATTGTGTATCTGAAACATGTCAGCAGTATGAGATAAACTATATTTAATAAGCTATCATAAATTCCGATAATGGAAAGTTAACCTAAAATTTCTATAAAGATGTCCTGATGAAGATTGTGTATCTGAAATCTAGCCAAGTGATGTCCTTAAGGAAAATGAAAACAAACTGAAGTGATATATAGACACATATCAGAAATTCAAATATTTCCCTAGTATTTCCAAAAACCGGCTATCTGATAGATTTTTACATTAAACTCATTCATAGACGTCTTAATCCATGATTGTAAACATCAAGAATTGATGAATTTCAGAATTCTCTCTCTCATCAAAAGTAATGTCTAGTGCCCTGGGGCTAGGGAATATTTGATTTACCCTGGTTTCAACTCCTTCAATATAATAAAAGAATTTAAATTGATCATTGAACAGAAAATCTTAGAATTTATCTCAGAAACCTCCATAATCAATGTAAGAAACTTGCTGAAATAATAGGTCTCAAGAATTGCTGGTTGATAAAGAAATATTTTCTAATAATTTGAAATGAATGTTAAATGGGGTACCAGTACTCTTTTTAAAAGATAAATATTCATATTGTGTTCTTAACAATTCAATCAGATATCAAGCATTTCATCATGGAAGATACACCATTCTGGGGTGTTGATTTTAGTCTTGAATATATGTAAATAGTCTTCAGAAGTACTAGTAATGTACGAAAATCACATAATTCCTTTAAAAATATATCAAACTAGGAATTTCTTTTCCTATTTCTATAGATATCTTTTCTATATAGGACTTGTCTTTTTAAGTTTCAAATGCAGATAATTCTGGACACATATGGATTAGACGACTCAAATTTTGACAGTGAGCTGTGAACACTATTACTGATTGGCTTAGCTAAAAATTCTCGTTTCTGAGACTGAAGAATGATTGGACAAAAAAATGGCGCATCTGCCCCTTTAAGGATTGAATGTAGATTTCAATGAATGCAGAATTTTCACTTTATTGTTTATATTGTGCATTAGGCCAGACCAATTTGTTTTCTTGTTTTACAGATTCTCCTACCTCAATTTTCCAGAAATCAGAAAAAAAAATAAAAACATCAGAAAAGCTACACAAAAAATAACAACATCAGTCTCGATAAAAAAAAAACCATTAGAAAATTTGTCAAGAAATAATCCGCAATACAAGGTACTGGTAATAAATTGATCTGGCCTTTTGGTAACAATAAAATAATATTGATTTACTGTATTGAGTTTTTTCTCTATATATATATACTGGTAATTAATATCCACTACTATACAACTGTTTTTAAACCTGGGCTGCTACATCAAACATCACACGTTACTTTTTATTTGTAAGATACCAGCTGAAACTTGATCATAGATCTCATTCATGCCTCGTTGAAACACTGAAAGCAAGGTTCATAACGAAATTACGTCATCCCATGACAACGTCATATCAATGAATAGTAAATTTGACTTCATAAATCACTCGCTCAACAAGAACAAAATTGGCTTAAAATTTTTTCTTACACTGAGGATTCGAACCCACAGCACGTAATTGCCTAGCAGACAATCCAACTTGACTGAGCTATTCCACTGTCCTAGCAAACCACAATCCAACTCGCTACCACCTGAGCTATTACACTGTCCTAGCAGACCACAATCCAACTCGCTACCACCTGAGCTATTACACTGTCCTAGCAAACCACAATCCATCCACCTCGCTACCACCTGAGCTATTCCACTGTCCTAGCAAACCACAATCCATCCAACTCGCTACCACCTGAGCTATTACACTGTCCTAGCAGACCACAATCCAACTCGCTACCACCTGAGCTATCCCACTGTCCTAGAGGACAACAATCCAACTCGCTACCACCTGAGCTATCCCACTGTCCTAGCAGACCACAATCCAACTCGCTACCACCTGAGCTATTACACTGTCCTAGCAGACCACAATCCAACTCGCTACCACCTGAGCTATCCCACTGTCCTAGAGGACAACAATCCAACTCGCTACCACCTGAGCTATCCCACTGTCCTAGCAGACCACAATCCAACTCGCTACCACCTGAGCTATTACACTGTCCTAGCAGACCACAATCCAACTCGCTACCACCTGAGCTATCCCACTGTCCTAGAGGACAACAATCCAACTCGCTACCACCTGAGCTATCCCAATGTCCTAGAGGACAACAATCCAAGACAAATCCTAAAATGCTGAGGCCAAATGAAAACAGATATTATAATACAATATCAAGTTAACAGATCAAGTCTTATTGAATTTAGCAGGTGAAACTGTTTTATAAATCAATTTTATCAATAGATCAATATCTAGTCCTTCCAGTATCTATTTTAGAGTGTTCACATGGCTAATATAAACACAGTAGTATTTGTTTTAAGGTAATAAAATATATTATGTTGAAATAGCTGTTTGTTTTTACTCGGAAATTATATGGGTAAATCTATATCAAATCATTTAGGACTAGAAAAAAGTTTTGAAAACTATAGATGAGGATGGTGTATCTGAAACAGGGGTCTGCAGCAAGAGATGAACCTTTCCCTTGTTAAATATAGATGAGAGCTGTAACAACACTACATTAAGACAGAATAGCAACAGGGTATTTCATTTGGTTTATTTTAAGGTGACCTTGAACATGTGATGCATAATAATTTCTTCAGATCATGGATGGAACAAAGACTCATAGAAAAACAGATCGAAACATCTACCCCAACAAATTTGACGATACCCGTTAATCAAAAACTAGTGATACCAAAAAGATTCTGAGCAAATTTTACCAGGACAGCAGCATTAGCCTGCTCTTTTTCAATTTCGAACTATCAAGGGATCTTTAACGTGCACAGCCTTTAGCCATGCTCTTTTTCCATGTTAGCCCCACTTATCTGCATCACTGACAGGGGGGAAACCTAGATGAAAAATCTGAAGGTATTATCTCGACTGTTGGGATTGAAATATGGACCTTCCGGTTAGCGAGCAAGCGTCTAACTCACTGAGCCACCACGGCTCCAGCAACTCAATTAGGAAGTGACAGTTTGTCTAGTCCTAAACATGCTGATATTCCATCCAAGGAACAGGAAAGGTGAGAACTATCGGGCCACTTAACTTAACTTAATTTTGTAGAATAAAGAAATTACATTGTGATCATATGAAACTGAAATGGAGACTATAAATAACTTGTTTAACTGAAGAAAAAGACAGAGAGAGGGAAATGCCACTAAAATTACCAAATCCAATAAATCACAACAACAGAATAAAATATACATAGAATGTAAACGGAACAAGTTTTATTTTATAAAATCTGTCATTTCTGTTAAAATATATGACGACTAATTCATCACCATTTTGAAAAAGTCAAAAGTCATGATTTTTGAATTGTAGATTCTTTATATATTTCTGAATCTAATTTGTCTGGGAAGAATATTTAAAACTGGATAAAATCCACACCAAGCCACTGTTCAAATTTATTGATCAAATTAATGATATTTTTTATAATTTCAGTCACAGAAGAATGGTGTCTTTTTGAATTATCACAGCCAAATATTAGAAGAGTCTCTGTCTCTAGTCAGACATGGCAATTAAACTCAAAATCAGTAACTAAAAATTTAAAATTTAAATTACATTTTTTTGGTGTATTCAAGTAGCACTCTACTAGGCAACAGCCTAAGCGTAGGGTAGGCAAGGCAACAGCGTAAGCGTGGGCTAGGCAACAGAGTAAGCATGGATTAGGCAACAGCATAAGTGTAGGCTAGGCAACAGCGTAAACTTGGGCTAGGCAACAGCGTAAGCGTAGGCTAGGCAACAGCGTAAGCGTGGGCTAGGCAACAGCGTAAACTCGGGCTAGGCAACAGCGTAAGCGTAGGCTAGGCAACAGCGTAAACTCGGTCTAGGCAACAGTGTAAACTCAAGTAGGCAACAGTGTAAACTCGGGCTAGGCGACTGCATAAACTCGGGCTAGGCAACAGCGTAAACTCAAGTAGGCAACTGCATAAACTCGGGCTAAGCAACAGCGTAAGCGTTGGCTCTAACATTGAAATATTTTTATCAAGTTTGATTGAAGTCAAAAGAAAAGTTATTCGTCTTATTTGGTACTGGTATTTAAATTATAAATCATTCGCTGCTGATTTCTGAATTATTTCTTCTATCAAATATATTTGAGTATAAATTAATTGTATAATAGTCTAGTACTCTATTTAAACTAGATGACAGTGTATCAATAACCAGAATTAACAGAGTCAGTCTATTAGAGTCAATATTGGTCCACGTTTCAAGTTAATCTTTACTCTACTACTTTCTTCAAAATAAATAAGGTTACAGGGTGTGTAACAAAAACTTATTTAATTTAATTTTAACCAAATAAATGTAATCTGTTGTTATATGTTGATTAATGTTTATTGCTAAGAAAGGTGCCATACCTCAAAATATAATTTTTCACACCTTTCCTCGAAAATAAATTAATGTGATAACAGGGTTTGTTACTGGACTAATTTACTGCCACTTTATTTTTTTTGTTATTTGTTTATTGGAATCAGAAAGGAAGCTGTATATTCAACTTTTCTCTAATCTGCCCACTAAATAAATGTGGTTACTAACTGTAAGTAAGATTTCTGTTTTTGCTTCAAACTTAATGACTCTTTCTTTAAAGTTTTGTAATATTTAGTTTACATTTCCTTGCAAATAGATGTGGTTAGAAGGTGTGTTTGTATATATGAGATCAGCTTGTAATTTATTTCTATTTTTATTAGTTTTTTATTGTTCATTTTGTTTTTGTTAGTATCTTTTTTAGGAATATAAGCTTATAGATGCATTTCAGTGTATTTTCAAAGACTTCAAACATAGATTCAAAACATCTCGGTCATTTATCCAATATGTAATAATTTTTTTTTAACCAATATCCATTGAAAGAATTTATTATTGAAATGTAGAACTGGCGACACGAGCCTTAGGGTACAAATAGGGGGCAGACTGACTCAATGGGGGGGACAACTGCTGAGGTTGAATTCAAATTTTGGCTACTCTGTGGTGGTGTCATAGTCGCAAGCCTGAGGGTTCTCTCAAAAAATTTTGGAAAAAAATGGGTTGATTTTGTGCATTCTGACACATATTTTGGAGAAAAATACCTGTACCCCGACTGGCGCCGCCACTGGTAGAACTATTTTCAAGTCTTGCCAGACCTAACCTAACATGGATGAGGTGTGGTTAAACATCTTATTGTTTGTGGTGAATCTGAGAGGAGCAAGTAGAATTTGTAATTAGACAACTGATAATACAGTTAATTTTTAAACAGTTTGTCTTCACTAAGATCTAAATTAATTCAACAATTTATCATTGTTTGTATCTAAATGAGTCAAGTAAGCTAATAGACCCCTCCAAGAAATTTTAACTGTTAAGTTGTTCCTCGTTTGTATGTTCATAATTTGGTTTCGTCATTGCATCAAGTGATATCAATCTAACAAACAAGGCTTGTCTGCTGTTGGTGACAATTTTTCAGATAAGCTTACAGGTTAGGGCTGGGTATTGATTACAAAATTGAGATCGATTATCGATGGCAGACTTGAGCGGTCATTATACTTTATTGTCGTTAGGTTGTGTGCTGAAATGTGAAAATAGCGCCACGGAGCAGTATTTTTTGCTGGATTGTAGGCGCTCTACAAATGAAGTATATTATTATTATTATTATTATCATTACTTGTTAACGGGTACAGTGAAGAAAATGTAACTTGATAATCGATAATTGTAATTATAAATTCCTTGAGACGATAATTGATATTTGGATCATTTTTACCCAGCCCTATAACTGGTTCTTCCTTAACTTTACTATAACAGATATTTTGGAAATGTGTTTTTTAGAAACAGGTCACCTAAAAATATCATATTCTTTTATTACTCAACACTGTAGAATTAGAGGACAATATACTTTTTCCATAACATTGTTCAAAGAAAGCTCGTCACTCAGGCAAGGTAATATACGCCCACTGGCAACTTTGCTTTTAAATAAAAATATTTGGCAGTACAGTAACAATTACCAGTATGAAATAATAATTGAACCTTCTAGTGTTTAAAAGCTCAAATTGAACAAGAACAAGGGCAATAACTCATACCAATTATTTTTTGATTTTCTTGATTTTCAATTGGGTTCTTGAGTGATTTAACAATCATACCAAGTTTCATCAAAATCTGTCAAGAATTGTGCCTTCTAGAATGTTTAAGAGCAATTGTGGACCGACCGACGGACGGACATGGATGACGACAATATACATCCCCAATTTCATGTGGACGTATAAAAATGCTCAAATATTAAAAAAAATATAAGCAGTGTGGCTTGTAGATTATATTTGCTGAGACGTGTATTAAAAACCAAGAACCAGCTAAAAATAATCCAAGACACCAACCCACCTTTTCTTGAATCATATTATCTACACCAATATTTCCGGGAACACCTGGATTAGGTCCATCTTCTACATTTATCCTTCTCTCTCTGGGAAAATCTGCACGGGGCCGGGAATTTCCAAATAGATATCGGATAATTGTCGGTCCGGCAGCCAAAAATATTCCACATCCTATCATATATTTTATCAGAGTTATTGTGTTTCTTCTCATGGTCAAATTTTAGTTGTTGAGTTGAAAATTCCTAATTTCATAAATAAGCCTAGATCTACAGGTACTGTGAATTATTTTAGCTTGTAAAATCTGTTTATTTCCTTTATATGTTTCTTATTTTTTTATGAATTTAATATTTTCCAAGTTCATTCAAAGTTTCCAAAATTTCATTCACTAAAAAATATCAATCAATCTGGGAAAATTTCGAAGACAAAAAGTTGACACAAGTCCCCTTGTCCAAAACCAACACTAATACAATAAGTCAGTAAGACAAACAAAGTTACACTTAGTACAACATTCTAATACATTGTGTCTATCCTCTTTTATTTACTAACTTCCTTCCTTGCTTCGTCGCCGAGTCGGTTGGAAAATCAATGCACAAGTCGATAAGTTTTGTAAAAATTCTGCACAACAACGCACCGAATCGGTAAAATCTTTTAACAGCAATGAAGATTAAGTTATCTGATCCCGATGAATGATTTTTGAGTCGTCATCGAGTTAAATATTCCATGCCTAGAAGGTAAAAGATAAAGTTTTGAACACGTCGACAAGTTAGAACGCCATGTTTGTTTACAGACGGCAAGGGATCATTTATTGTGACGTCAGGAGTAGTCAGTGTTTTAATACGGTGGGAGATGTTTACAAACCAATAATATTAATATTTTAAAAGTGACCGCAAACAGTTTGTCATGAAAAGTTAAGGTTCAGCAAAGCACATCTGGGTTTGAATCAAACAAAACCACGAGCAGTCCACTTTATTAGAATAGTAGAATAATAATTGGTAACTGTACTCTACAAGCCTTGTCCATTCCTATATTATCTCATACACATGTACTTGTGTGTATGTGTTTTTCTGTATATATTGTTAAATTGTGATGGCTTGTACATCTTTTGTGGTGATGTACTTTATCACAGCAACATAGTCTGTCCATTTAATATACATGTACTTGTGTATTTGTTAAACAGGTTGTCCATCGAGGTATTGTGTATTTTTCCCTCATTCATTCATTTTATTATCCCAATAGGCTGAATGTTAAACGGTCATGTCCTTGTGTATTGGGCCTAATTTTGACCCATATAAAATATAGAGTTTATTATATTATTATAATTAATAATACTTTAACTACCTGTACCTAAATAAGCAGTAAATCTTGTGTCTATGTTATGAATCTAGCGTTAGTATCGTCAAAAGGTGCGGGCACACGAACGGTCTTGGTCGATGATTTTTGTCTCCGACTGGAGTCTCGTCTTGAGTTTCACCAACTAGCACGGGCACACGAGGAGACAAAAATCTCCCGTCGATCGTTTTCTACCTTGTCAATGTAATTAAAAGAAAAATGAATTTGATTGGATGTTGACGTTCTGCCTTGTAGACGATAAAACTATCAGAGACAATTATCAATCTTGTCGGGGCCGCAATAATCTTATCATGAAAACACGGGCACACGAGAGATTTTACTCAAAACTCTAATCAGAGATAAAAAATATCTGACCAAGGCCGCTCGTGTGCCCGCACCTTTTGTATTTTACCAAGTTTCAACATTAAATAAATAAGAACACTTTTACACTACTCCTTTCTTATATAGTGTTCTTATTTATTTAATGTTCTATCTACTTCTAAATGACATTTCAAGACAAAGTTTCAACTCAATTGCTAATTTCCCCAGATTGACTGTTCGTTGGTTTGTAAAAGTACGCCACCTTGAAATCACCGTAACGTACTAAATGAAGCTAATCATTCAGTATTAACTCTTTGTAATAATTCATCTTGTAACAAGTTATTACTTGTAATCTGTCGTCTGTCCGGTTCACTTATCATATAGATTCATAACGCCCAAGCAAATTTCATGGTTTGCCACTTCCTTACGAAGTTCCGTTCGTTTTTTTTTTATGAAATTGAAGACAAACGGAATGTCATATATCCATTTTGAAAAGTAATTTGGTTAGCTGAAATTCAACTCTGTAAAAGGTTAATTGAAATATTTCGACAATTGAAAGCCATTTTCTTACTTTTACAAGGAAATCAAAATTGGTGCAAGAAAGACATTCTTTGAAATAAATAGAGAAGCCTACATTGTTCTACAGTCTTACGTCTGCTCCTGCTTGGGTTAACAAAAATGAATGTCAGCTTTTCATCCTCCTTCTCTGCTCTTGATTGGCTAATGTAGATGGGTATCACACAGCTCGTCACCAGCTCGAATTGGTGCTGGGGCTCGGTATTTGCAGGTGGAGCCCGTGAAGCGCTACAAATATTACAATCTGGGAGTCTGAGAACTGAATTAGAAGTCCACCGAATTCATTTCACTTCAGTCCTGAAACGTAGAAGGTTTGCTGGGGCTTAATCCTCACCTCCTGGGGCACAGCCCCCATGGACCCCACCCAAATAACAGGGCTGGCATCACAATACAGGGTCCAATGAGATATATATTGCCAGGATTTATACCATACACAAGGGACTCTTGCTTTTGACTAGATGCTTTGCCATGTCAGTCCCACTGACCTTGTTTTTCAACCTTTGGTAATATGTGACCCAAGACCTACAAGTTTTTGAACAATCGTCCAACACACTGGCTCAACCCTGACCCCAAGGAAATAAACACACACAAGAGTTTTTCCATATTTTTTAAGAATATTCATGAACATGATCATTTGGTGAAATGAAAATTATGATTTACATACAATGTTTTCTTAAAAATACTTTTCCTTGATCACCAAAATAAACTGTCAAAGTTGGCAGATATTTCACTTGTTTATTTTCTTGTTTGACAGTTGTCATTTTAAACAACAGATACAATTCAGTAATCTACATTTTTAACAGAAATGCAGTAATATTTGATTCCATCTTAAAATGCTGCAGAAATACAATGAAGACAGTAAATGAAATGAAATTCACTGTTTTTTACATGGCTAATAAATAATAAATCAAATCCTATTGCTCTTCTCTGAGAAACTAAGTTCTGTTCTGTAAATTATTGAATTCCCAAAATAAACCAGTTTTGAATCTCATTCTTCTGTTCTTAAAGCCAGTTTTACATCCTATTGTTCTGTATCTCAATTAACAAATGAAGTTTTATATTCTACTGTTCTGTATCTTATTGGACTAATGTAATGATAATATCTAGAAGTATATAAGTTAACTTTGTATCAAGATGAATTTTGACTGTTTTTTTTTCACAATATATACATTTTCTTTTCATCTTTTTCACTGTAATATTATATACATCTTTCTGTCATCCATTTTTGATAAAAATCACTCCGATGTCATCCTTCTATTATTTTTTTCCTTTCTTTGATCTAACACTTAGTTAAGGTAAAAATATAAAATAAAAACATGTTCATTTTTCTCATTACAGCATTCAAGTTGAGTCGACATCTGACTCCAAACGTAAATAGTGTAGCGGGAAACTCCATTATTTCAGAAACACCCCATTATCTGCTTATTTTTTTATTTATACGACTCTGAAAATGGGTAATTTGCATAATTTCTGTATCTTTGGAAGAAGATGTTATTGAAATGTACTTGTCATAAACTTTCTAACGATGTCTTTATTTTAGTTCAACTCGGACTCCAAGGAAATAAAACACACAAGAGTTTTTCCATATATTACTGCAATTTACATGCATATAACATCGAAGCTCTTTCCACGTGAATTATTTAATAAAATAGGAAATTTTGGTTTGTGTTCAATGGTTAAGAGGGGTTTGAAGTCCCTAAAATAGTCCTAAAGATTAAAATATATTCTTAAAGCCAATCTGAGGAATTATTGTTACAGTAAAAAAATTCTAGCTTATATAGTTAAATTGTGCCAAGGTTTATTAATACAGCTTTCAAGTTAAACTCGAATATCTTACAAATACATTTACAGACATCAGACTCACACCGCAAATAATATAGCAGAAAACTATTTAATTTCAGAAATCTGCCATTAAATGCTTATTTTTTGTTTGATTTGCCACAATTCTTAAAGTTATTCTTCCTCTTCTTCTTATGAAAATAATTACTAAGTGAATGTATCCAGATTTTAAAATATTTATAAAGTTAAAGGATACAGTTTATCTTTTTTTTTGGAGCGATTGGGAGATTCTTCTGTATCAAATGAAGCACTCTAAAATATAAAATATATATAATTAGATAGAGTATAATACATCCACATTGAGTTAAAGAGATTGTAAAGAGGTTTTCTAACATTTTATGTGTATCAGGGACATTGATAACATCAATTTGCACCATTCCAATAATCAGATGTCTGTGGTTCCTGCAATTCCACTAAAACTAAGTGTTTTATGCCATCACCCCACCAAACCAAACCTAAATACCAAATAATCATTATTAGCTATGTGGACTCTCTGAAAGGGATGTCTAGCTGACAAACTTAAATACCAAATAAACAATACTAGCTATTTGGACTCTTAAAAGATAGGTGATTCGTAAAAGTGAGCATACCTTGCTGCTCCAGTGTAACTCACCACTCTAAAATTTTTGTAGATTATTCAGTGAATCAGTAAGAGTAAACCTGTCTTGTAGATTATTCAGTGAATCAGTAAGAGTAAACCTGTTTTGTAGATTTTTTAGTGAATCAGTAAGAGTAAACCTGTTTTGTAGATTATGTTAGTGAATCAGTAAGAGTAAACCTGTTTTGTAGATTATTTAGTGAATCAGTAAGAGTAAACCTGTTTTGTAGATTATGTTAGTGAATCAGTAAGAGTAAACCTGTTTTGTAGATTATTTAATGAATCAGTAAGAGTAAACCTGTTTTGTAGATTATGTTAGTGAATCAGTAAGAGTAAATCTGTTTTGTAGATTATGTTAGTGAATCAGTAAGAGTAAACCTGTTTTGTAGATTATTTAGTGAATCAGTAAGAGTAAATCTGTTTTGTAGATTATTCAGTGAATCAGTAAGAGTAAACCTGTCTTGTAGATTATTCCGTGAATCAGTAAGAGTAAACCTGTTTTGTAGATTATTTAGTGAATCAGTAAGAGTAAATCTGTTTTGTAGATTATTCAGTGAATCAGTAAGAGTAAACCTGTCTTGTAGATTATTCCGTGAATCAGTAAGAGTAAACCTGTTTTGTACATTATTCAGTGAATCAGTAAGAGTAAACCCGTTTTGTAGATTATTCAGTGAATCCACAAGAGTAAACCTGTTTTGTAGATTATGTTAGTGAATCAGTAAGAGTAAACCTGTTTTGTAGATTATGTTAGTGAATCAGTAAGAGTAAACCTGTTTTGTAGATTATTCAGTGAATCAGTAAGAGTAAACCTGTTTTGTAGATTATGTTAGTGAATCAGTAAGAGTAAACCAGTCTTGTAGATTATTCAATGAATCAGTAAGAAACCTGTCTTGTAGATTATTCAGTGAATCAGTAAGAGTAAACCTGTCTTGTAGATTATTTAGTGAATCAGTAAGAGTAAACCTGTTTTGTAGATTATGTTAGTGAATCAGTAAGAGTAAACCTGTTTTGTAGATTATGTTAGTGAATCAGTAAGAGTAAACCTGTTTTGTAGATTATTCAGTGAATCAGTAAGAGTAAACCTGTTTTGTAGATTATGTTAGTGAATCAGTAAGAGTAAACCTGTTTTGTAGATTATGTTAGTGAATCAGTAAGAGTAAACTTGTTTTGTAGATTATGTTAGTGAATCAGTAAGAGTAAACCTGTTTTGTAGATTATGTTAGTGAATCAGTAAGTGTAAACCTGTTTTGTAGATTATTCAGTGAATCAGTAAGAGTAAACCTGTTTTGTAGATTATGTTAGTGAATCAGTAAGAGTAAACCTGTTTTGTAGATTATGTTAGTGAATCAGTAAGAGTAAACCAACCTTTCTATTAACAGTTCTAATAGTAGTAACATCATCGTATCTTTCGTTTGATCGAACTTTATCTGTACTTTCACTTCTCTTTCTAATAGCTTCAGGATCACCATTTAATTTCCCCCCTACAAATACATACCACATTACACAGGGCAAACAAACTAAGTTATATTTTATAACAATTCATGCAGTGTGCAATGAGGGAAATTTTACAAGAACAGCAGCATTAACCTTCTGATTTCTAACTTACACAGAGCTTTGGTTTACTGTCCAATCAGAAGAGAAAAATGTCCTTGTCAGCCTCATTGATTGGCATTTGGAAGAACAACAATCCTTGCCATAGAAAAAATCTTTCTTTCAAGAAATTTGACCTGTATGATCTTTCTACAGCTATAGATTCCTTTTGTTTTTTGGACAAATAAAGATGTTTGTGAATAATGTAACTTACTAGCATAGCCATCATCACTGCGTCTTTTCTTCGATGTTTCATCTCTTTCTGGTGAAAATTCCTACAACAATAAAAGCTTCCAGGTAAGAATAATTCTGATGTCTTAGTCTGTGCCATCCTACCACCAACCATCGCTATAATCAGTTTATCAATTGTCAAATCTCAATTGGTGAATTCTGAACAGGTTCTGTCTGTTCCCATCCTAATCGTTAATCAACCATTACATTGGAACATATTTAGCACTTCTAAATTTTGAATGAAATGTTCAAGAACTTCATGCCACTCCTATTAGATTCTTTTTGGATCAAAAAAATATAAGTTTGTTTGTATAACCTACTCTTTTTCTATCTCTCTTCTCTCGTTCTCTCTCAGCTGACGGACTCTGAAATTTGATTGAAAATATTCTTATCATTACAGGCAGGACTCTGTTGAAAAATGGGGAATATTTATGAATATCAATACATCTAACTGGGGATCTTACATTCTAAATATCTCAGAGTATTGACAAATATCTTTACATCCAGACAAAATGTTTCATTGATAAACTCGAGGCCAAAATTTATTTTCCTTTGAATTTCAACCTTGGAGCAGTCTAAATAAAGTTACACCAAAGTTTCGTTCTGTTTTCTGATTAGCTTTTGTTTCCAATTCAGCTGCTTCAGTAAGGGTCTAACAACAGCCCTCTTGAAGGTTCCTCAATTAAACCTTTTGACCTGACTCGATGACGTCTGCTTTAACCAATCAAATTTCTACCCTCTCCAGCGTTGACATTTTGTGACGCAGTGTTTATCAGGTAAGGTTAAAAGGTTAATTTGACGAACGTTCAAGATGGCTGTCATTAGACCTTAACTGAAGTGGCTATATTAAAAACAAAAGCTAGTATTAAAAAGAGACACTAGTTTGATGTAAGTTTAAATAAACTGCAACTCAGGTTAGAAAAATAATATTAAGAGATAGTTCCTCAAATATTCTTCAATCCAATAACATCATGAAAATCATTGTTTATCATTCTATTTCAATGTATTGTTAATTCAGTTTGCAGTTATATATCAAGTTATATATCAAGTTATATATCAAGTTATATAGAGTCCAGTTCAATTCTTACCCTTTTATGTTTGGTTTTAGTTTCCGAGGCTGGGTCCTGAAACACATCATTCTAAATATTCAAAATTACAATCAATTCTAACAATCAAACAATTTACATTATCAACTTTAATATCATTATATAGCTCATTATTACTAGGGACTTGTTGTTAGAGACATAGTAATAGTAGTCTAAATATTTACTTTACCAGCTGATAGAGCTCAATTTCAGCTATCTGTATAGTCATCTATATATTTACTTTACCAGCTGATAGAGCTCAATTTCAGCTATCTGTATAGTTATCTAAATATTTACTTTACCAGCTGATAGAGCTCAATTTCAGCTATCTGTATAGTTATCTATATATTTACTTTAACAGCTGATAGAGCTCAATTTCAGCTATCTGTATAGTCATCTAAATATTTACTTTACCAACTGATAGAGCTCAATGTCAGCTATCTGTATAGTCATCTTAATATTTACTTTACCAGCTGATAGAGCTCAATTTCAGCTATCTGTATAGTCATCTTAATATTTACTTTACCAGCTGATAGAGCTCAATTTCAGCTATCTGTATAGTCATCTATATATTTACTTTACCAACTGATAGAGCTCAATTTCAGCTGTCTGTATAGTCTTCTAAATATTTACTTTACCAGCTGATAGAGCTCAATTTCAGCTATCTGTATAGTCTTCTAAATATTTACTTTACCAACTGATAGAGCTCAATTTCAGCTATCTGTATAGTCATCTAAATATTTACTTTACCAGCTGATA